TAGGCTCTACCAGTTAAATAAGTTATTTGCTGGTTGATTGGCTTTATGAAAAATAAGTCACATTTTTTTCAGGGGGGCAGCATAGCATAAAGGGTTAAAGGCATGGCTTCTGGAGTCAGGGGGGATGAGTTTCAAAGACAGCCCCGCAACAAAGAGTGGCACTGCAGGGTGTGCTTAGGTTGTCCCCAGTAAGGACATGACATGACCTGCCTTTTTGGGTGGTAGAAGAACTCGTTGTGACAAGGGTTGAAGCACATGTCACATAGTTCAGTGTTACCATTCCATGGTATTTACTCTACACTTTGACTTGAACTCTAAGTTAGATATTACTGTCCTCATTTTATTCTTAGAAAACTAAGCCATGAGAGAGTTAAGTAATTTGCCTAAAATCACATTAATGGTGCAGTGGGGTCTAGGTCAAGATTAATCTGACCCTAATGTCTTTATTTTTTCTGCAAGTTGCTCAGGGGGCAACCTCCATGCCTCTTTTTTAGTTTACACTCCTTATACGTAAATAGTCAGGAAGGCTACTGGCTCTTCCTTCAAAACAGGTCTAGAATCTGACCACCTGTCTCTACCTTCCTCTGCTACTACTACCCTGGTTTAGCCTCCATCATCTCTTACTTGGGATTCTCTATTGGCCTCTTAACAAGTCTCCCTAGTTCTATCCTTGCCCCTTACCTTGTCTTAACACAGCCACCCAAATAATCTTTGAAAGCTATAAGGCCTATCATGCTGTTCTGCTGAAAATTTCACACTAAAACTTCATTTCATCCATTTTGCTCAGTAAGAACCAATGTCCTTACAATGACCAAAGATGTCACATCAAGGGTTGACAGGTTGGCAACTTCGGCCTGCATGCCAAATCTGCCCACCACATTTTAATACACTGCAAGATTTATTTATTTATTACTTTAGAGGGGGGGGGCAGAGGGAAAGAGAGAATCCTGAAGCAGACTCCCCCACAATTAGCATGGAGCCCAATACAGGGCTCGATCCCAGGACCCTGAGATCATGACCTGAGCTGGGACCAAGAGTCTGCTACCCAACCAACTGAGTCACCCAGGTCCCCCTAGTAGTATATTTTTAAATAATTAAAACAAGTTTTATACTATATAATATGTAAAAGTTATATGAAATTTAACTTTCAGTTTCTATAAATAAAGTTATTTGGATTGTAGCCACTCACATTCATTTATGTTTTGCCTGTGACTGATTTGGCACTCCATACATAGGATTGAACAGTTGCAACAAAGACCATGTGGGTTGCAAAGCCTAAAATACTTACTATTCAGCTCTTTGCAGTAAAGTTTGCTGACCCTGACCGAAAAGATCTGACCCCTATTACCTCTGTAACCTCACACAGTCCTCCCCTATACTGACCGTGCTTTAGCTGAGCTGGCATTCCTGCTTCTGCCCAATGGCCTTGGCGCTAACTCTTTCTTCTTCCTGGAATACCGTTCTCCTAGATTTCTCCTTTGTTAATTTCTTCGACCTCTTTCAGATATCTCCCATTGAATGGGGTGACCTGCACTGAGCACCCCATTTGATATTGTACTGTACACCCTACACTTTGTGGCCTCATTCCTCCCTACCTTGCTCTACTTCTTCTGTACCACAGACCACCTTCTAACGGGCCATGTAGTCCGCTAACTTAGTATGTTTGGGTTTTGTTTCCTGTCTCTTCTTGCTGGACTCTAAGCCCCATGAAGGCAGAGATATTTGTTTTGTCCAGTGATATATCCCAAGTTCCTGAAATATTGACGCAAATGCAATTGCACTCGGTATTTCTTTCTTTTTTTTTTTTTTTTAAAGATTTTATTTATTTATTTCAGAGAGAGAGAATGAGAGAGAGCACATGAGAGGGGGGAGGGGCAGAGGGAGAAGCAGACTCCCTGCCGAGCAGGGAGCCCGATGAGGGACTCGATCCAGGGACTCCAGGATCATGACCTGAGCCGAAGGCAGTCGCTTAACCAACTGAGCCACCCAGGCGCCCGCACTCAGTATTTCTTGACTGTTGAATGTGATATTACCTCTTACTAAACAAAGTACTTCAATATTTGACTTCTGGTACCTCACTAGAGCTGCTATTTTGACTTAATATTTTCTCTCGGGTTCATTACACACAAAAGAAAATGTACTTAATTATGCAGTTAGCTAAGTAAATTGATTATGGTAGTATTAAACACCTTTCTCACTTTACCAAGAAGAAACTCCTCCTTCTACTGCCTTACTCCAAAACACAGTGGAACAACTTTAAATTCTTAAATATGTAAATATTCCTGATAATTAATGCTTGTATAGTTTTGAGTTGGATATACAGTTACTTTAATGTCTTTTATGTAAGAAATAAGATTGTCTCATTGTCTTATATAAGTATTCATAAGGAATAACACTAACAACATTATTTATATATTTTGAATAGTATTAAAGATATTAGATATTATAGACCCTCATATTAGCAAAAAATTTTAAAAAATGATAAATAATGGTTAAATAATGTATGATTGATTTTAAATGAGACTTTATAAAGTACTTAGGGAAAAAGAAAGTTTTTCCAAAATAACATTTCCTTCATTGCCTTCATAAAGCTTTTAAATTTAATTTTGGCCTGAGTTAAGAAAAATTAACTCAGTATGACATGAAATAAGATTTTAAGTGAAAATCTTAGCTTTTTCCTGTAAATTTAATTCAGCTGACTAATTTTCATTGAATGCTGCCTTACATAGTCCGAAATGAACAGAAAATTTACATGTGCCCGTAGTAAAAATGATAATTGCATACAGAAACATGTTTTATGTAAGAACATGAACAATTTCTTTCCACAAAGAATCCTTAGATGGAAAACACAATATATTAATTCAATTATTTGCCAAAATGTTAAAAGCAGAAAATATAGCTATGGCATTCTACCAAGTATAAAGCCACTTTAACCTTCTATCTGCCCATATGTAATAGAATAAGATTTGATATTCAAAATGATAACTGAGAAACTTTAAAATCCTACAAGACCATTTGAATCATCTCATTACACTATTTTTACTACCTTAGTCAATTTCCTTTCTTTCATTTGAAAGTTAGCCATCTACTTTAGAATAAATAAAAGTGTTTTAGACAGAATGTCTACTAATATGAGCAAGATAGAAGATATGTCATATTACACTGATCTTATCAAACATTTACCACTTGTTTATGGATTGGTAATAATCTATTCCTGCTGCCATTCAAATGGTCCACTATGAATGATTGAATTACTTTCAAATAATTGATTGGCACCTCACATCCAGGTGTGATAAAAATGGGCACTAGGGGAGGAGAGCAACACATCTGGAAAACTGGATAGTTATTAGATTCTTGAAGAAATGGGCCCAGATAGCTCGATACTGGAGTTAGTGTGCATTTTACTCCTGTCATAATTTGAGTTGACATGATATGCTGTCCTAGGTCATTGGCTTTCTAGTCGATGCTGAAAATCTGTGACCTGGAGTTTATTTCAGTTTATGAACAGGTTTTTGCAAGTCCCCTAGCTTTGAAGAAAGCAAACTTCCCCCCAAAATTGGAAAACTCATTTACTCAGGGCATAAAGATTCTAAAGGCAGGTTTCAAGAGAATAGGTGTTGAAAAACAATTCTTATGAAAATAAGTAAAGAAAAATCCAGGAAAATGTTGATCTTGTTTAGTGGTTCAAAAGGTATTTTTATATGGATGATGTAGAAAAGACCATGACTTTATATCTATAGGATACAGTAAAAAGCTGTAGCACGGCACACATATGGGAAATTACTCAGTTCTAGTAGTAGAACTTCATGAATACTCATTATTGGCCAAGAGAGATAAAACACTGAAAACTGGCACTGGTTTGGGGAAACTGAGTCATAGAATAGACAATGGGAAATGCAAACTGTGGCATGAAAGAATGAATGAGGCAGGAGACCCTGTGGACACTTATCCTCAAAGCCTTATACATGGAGAAGGGTCTCAACTTTGGAAAGCTCAGGAAATCTATGTAGAGTCACAAGGGGAAGAACCAGAAAACCTACCCAGTTTTGCCGTTATTACAAATTAAAGAGATTCTCTATGGCAGATAGAAGCCTGTGATGCTTGAGGGAGGGTAACCAGGTCACATATATATGAAACCAGTGGCTACCACCAACTTCAACTTCTTCAAAATATACTCAGCCATAAAATATACCTTTTAATGTTTTAAAACAACTACCCTTTATACTTCTGTTCTTTAAATTTTTTGTGGCTTTTATAGTAGATTTGTAAGGAAATTTGCTTAGTACCAGAGTTCTATTAAAATTGAGATTGTACTGTTAACAAAGGTCTTCTTTGGGACTGGGCGTCTTGGGGGATGGATCTCCAAAAATGTCATTTTTACGTAAAACACTGAAATAGCTTAGCTTTGGAGTGTGTGATCGAGTTGAAGAGTTTGAAATTGTTTTTCTTGAATATTTCTGTGCCTCTTTATCCCATTCTCCTCAATGTTGTGTGTGTAGTATTTCCTAGAAAAATAAATTCATCTAGTTTTCTAAGCTACAACTTGCTTTTGGACACTGGTTTCCTTCCAAGTCAATGAGGTGGATGTCCATTTTCCACACCTTCTCAGTATACACTGGGGTATTTCTTTCTCCTGCCATTCTCCACCTCAGCTGAAGGGTGTCCTTGAGACACCTTTGAAGCAGGCTAGGAGGAAAGGAACTGCAGCAAACAGGTAGTTACTCCACAAATTATTTTTGTAATCTCTGGTGAAAAGAGTGATTCTGGAGCATGGGGAATTACCTTAAAGACTAGGTAGTTTGTGGGAGCTATTGACCACAATCCTTACTATCTCCAAATAGATTCCGGGGAACTAATTTCTTTGGGAAGGAAAAAATCCATTAGTATTTCTTTAAATGTTTCATTTGTTTGTTTGTTTATCTGTTTCCAGGAAATACAATTTAATGTCCAATGTAAAATATTTCATCCCTGAACTCCTAATTTTTTGCTTTGCTTTTCAGTGTGGTGTCATTTCCTTCTATTTGGGAGAATTCCATAATAACTCGGTCACCCCTCCTGAGAGGCATCCATCCTGGTATGCTTGCACCAGTTCATTTCAGTGTCAGCTGGTCCTAACGCATATGTAGAAGAATGTAAATAATAGGATGATATAAATGGTGTATAGTGGAAAAAAGTCAAGATAAATTCAGGGAACACACTTAAGCAACACTTCAGAAGTTTCAAAAAATATCAGTAATGAGTTATTGTCAAAGTCACCATGTAGCTATTTGTTTTTTGATGACCTCTTAGTACTCTGTTGTCCTAAATTTCTATTTTACTGAAGCTCCACACTCCCGTGAGCTTTCTTGACATGTTTTATCTGCTCTATTTTCCTACCTATTCTAATTTGCTTCCAAATACATTTTGGCATTTTTCAAGTTAAAAATATCCTTACCTTCTACGTTTTTATTATAGATATTTTGTTCAATTATATTGTAATTAATGCCTTCATTTAGTGTTCTCTCAGTTGCTATTGCTACCTAATTATAGATGATATAGAATGTTGTTTGCTTTTGTATTAAAAAGTAGAAGTTAGTCCAGGGAAAGCACATCCTTGCATTGAGATAGTCAGCCCTAAGTATGTATTTGCATTTTGAAAAACAAAAATGGATTACTAACAGTAAGTATGTGAGAGACAAACACACACACACACACACACACACTTAGGAATAGAGTGGATCCATATCTCTAGGATAACATTTATATTTGAGAAGCCTTTTGGAAATGTTTTGAAAACATCTTCTTTAGAACTAGTTTGCCTTTATTCTGTCAATGCCACATACTGGATATGATAGAGTGTCATATCAAATTTATATCCAGCTCCTCAGGTATTGAAAATTCAGAACTCTACCTGACAAGCCCAAATTAGTTATACTGAGAAAGAACTTGAAACCAAAACTTAACAATGGATTTCATATTCTCTGACTTTGGTAGGTTTGATTTTTTCTAATACACTCAAATAATAAAACATTAGAAAGATAACAATGTACATATTATGTACAATATAGCATAGTGTTTAAATAATGCATGTAAAGTTTTTAATATCATGTTTGGCCCACAAAAGGTGTTCAATAAATGGTGGTAATGGTGTGCTAATAGTGATTGTGATTGATTATGATGATGATGATTAGTTCATGGAATCAGATTTTAATTCATGGGGAACTGATAGTTAAAATAATTTATAGTAATAAAATATCAATAACTAGTATATAAGCAGAATAAATATAAGAGATATGAAAGACTTGGATCTATAAGCTTATTATATGCTGCAACAGACATTTTATTTTCATTTTATTTATGCTAGAGATCAACCGCAAGAGAAAGTTATGATCATCCATATAGCAAGTTACCAGTCCTTAGGTGAAAATATAAGACCTGTGGGTTAACTTTCTGATCTGACTTTAAAAATCCATTAAATTAGCTCAAGTAATTCTAACACTTCAGGTGGTAAAATAGCTACAATCTTATATATCTCTACAATCTTATTTGTTTGAAAGGGCATTACATAGATAACTAATATCAGGGCCATGTCTACATAGAGCCAAACCATTTGAGGAACAGGGAAAAGAAAGGTGGCCATCTCTGGGTGTTTGGTCTTCATGAATGATCCCATGTATTCAGATAGTTAGAGACTGTAATGGGATTGATACAATATATGGACAACTGCAAACATTCCTCTCTTTACATAGAAATATTTGGATATTTTTCATAGCTTATCCAAAATACCAGTGGTATAATGTAACGTGTCAAAGCCATATTTTGCTCTTGGTATGGTCCATGTGTTCACTTGCCTGGCATGATGGTGACTTTAGTTTTTGAGATATATGCGTGCCCAAACCTCCAACTATGTCAGCAGAGTGGACTTGTAATTCCACTCTGGCAGCCTAACTCACTGTAAACCCATGAAAACCAGGCACAAAGATTTGCAGAGAATGACAGCAAGGATGGAACACCACACAAATTCATGCTGCACCTGTTATCAAAAATAAAGTTGCCTGTCTTTGCATCTTTCAATACGGCACCTTTCGCTGATAAATTTGTTGATCATTTTTTTTAAAGGAAGAACTAAACAAACAGGGAAATAAGGTGCTTGCAACACCCCCTGTTGAAAGATGCATTACTTACTCTGCTTGAATGGATTTATATTGGATAAATCTAGTACAAAGTGAAAACCCTATTTTCAGCTGAGACTTAAAGATGTTTTACTAAAACATGCTTAAGCAAATGAATTTGACGCCTCACAAGGAAGATACACACAGAGCTATCTTTGTAGAAGTTCAATAAATTGTGTATCGGCAGCTGAAGAAAGATGTTCTCTTTCTGATTTGCACTCATGGATTTGCATTGACTTCATTTAAAATTCACGGTATGCATAGTGGAAATGGTTAAATATGACTTTGGCTGATACCTAACAAGGGGAAGTAACTTTTTCTTTCCTGCTCAGTAGTTAGCCATGCTGCTGAAACTCCACGGGCTCACTCAGAAACCATACTTTTAACAGAAGATCCCTTCGTCATGTAAGTCAGTGAAAGACAGTGGAACGGGCCCCTTCAGCTGGCATCTCTCCACCTCACAGGATCCCCAAAGCTTTCAAATCCACCTCAAGCCCAGGCAGTGGCAAAGAGAGAGGAATTGAAGAAGCAAAAATAAATATTAAAGTACATAAGAATCAAATAGTACCTATTTAAATAGCAATTATGCAGTTGAAAACAAGATTATCACACCTGTACAAGAAAAGGCATGCAAGCCAAAAACATCTGCTTGGATCCACCTGCCAGGCACCTGTTTTGCTGTTTCAATGCCATTTGATTGCTGGAGATGTAGAGGCTCTTGTGAGGTAATGAGTGATTTTACATTATGCATGATTGAAAACAGGTGTTCTAATGCTGTACAATTCTATGCATGAATAATTCAGTTTGTTTAGAGCAAGATCTTTAAAAGAAGTACTGCATGGGCTTTATTATTTCTATAAACATGAAGGTTATTTTTTTTAATGTACAACGATTGTTCCTTTTCAGTCAGCTTGTTTATGGCAATTTTTGTGTAATTTTATGGATGAGGAATAATATCTTGAAAGGTAAAATTGATCATACTTAAAACATGTAAGAAGTAAAATTGAAAGGTCTGTTAGCAAGAGGAAAAACGGTATTAAAATTCAATGTTCTAAGTGAAAATGCCTGATTATTTCCTTCCTGCTTTGCCTGCTTTCTGATGGTAACAAAACATTCGTCTGAGAGCTATAATTAAGGAGGGGTGAACTATTTGGGAAAATAGAGAAATTGTTTTGTATCTCAGCCCAAACACCAAGCAGAGCCCAGACTTCCTTAAAGATAGAACTGATGTTAGCAGGCTTTCTTTTCTACTTACATATCATGAGTTCACACCCTCTTGTAACCCGCTGTAGGGTACCACTGAGAGAGACAACCTCTTTTGCTCCAATTCCCACTTCAAGTTTTGTCTACCCTGGTCTTCTGGAGTCAGAAGTGTTATTATCAGAATGTTGGTTTCAAATAGCAAGTAAAATCCCTAAACTCCCTATGTTAAGATTTAGAACCTCACCAAGAAGATATGAGACTTGTTCTCTTAGAGACCGGAGACACTATGGTGTCTCAACCACATATCATGAAATACTTAAAATTTCTGAGGTGTGAGAGAAAACATATTTGCTTCAATTAATACTATCTAAGTAATGGCAAGACAAAGGAGACAGAATTATAGTCATAATCACATCGCTGTTAGTAATTTACATTTGTTGAGTGTTTTGTACCATATAAACCATACTATAAGAGAGTTATTGACACATAATAATTCCTTCCTAAAATATACCACCTCAGCAAGTAGTCAGCTTTGAGCTTTGAGGTTTGGCTCCCTTCCCTCATTTTAAGAGCTGTGGGGAGCTTCGCAGGGGAATCTATTATTAAAAAGCTTTTCTGTTAGAAGTAAATTGTAAGACAGGTCCTTCATGTTGGGAGCAACACTGGGAAAGTCACAAAGAAAAATAGAAGATTTGGTATGAAGGAGAACATTTTCATTGCTACTGACACAGTGAATTGACCTTATTCCCTCCCATGGGGATAAGGTTGGAGAGCAGGCCTTTACGAGTATTCACCAAGTATAAGCATTGGCCTCATAAACTTAGAGAATTGATGCCAGGAAGGGCTTCAGGAATCTGGGCTAAAGGATATAAGTAAGCAGAAGATAGAAATGTTTGTCTGGCAATTCGGAGCTAGCATAAAATGACCTTTTTTCTCTAAAAGTTAAGATAGCAAAGCTTTCTTTCCGATTCTGCTAAATACTTATATAAAATGCTTTTTTTTTTTTTACTATACATCTCAATGCTGATGGACATCTAAAATTTTAAATTGAATCATGAAACTGCAATTTTTGTTGGTCAAAGCCGGTTGAATATTAGATATTTCATATGGTTCAGTCCATCTGGGCTAAGGGTCCCTCGGTCAGTGGCATTCCATCTTCGTGAATACAATAAACCATAACTTTCATTGCATGAAATGCGTAACTAGTAAAAAAAAAAAAAAAAAGCACACTCTCTGATAGACAGCAACCACTTTATGAGAAGGCCTTGCAGCCATGGTAGAAGTTGGTGCCCCACCTCATACCAAGAGGTGGAGTTTACTCTCCTTGTGAATCAGCTCCTCTTAATGACCGCCTGACCTCTGACTGAGGCAGAACTTTGCGGCTTCTGCTGTGTCTCCTGGAATGATAACTGTTAGGACTCTTTCTCCAAGAATCCAGCCACCATGCTTGAGGATCTACATAGTGGGATCATGTGTAGGGTAGGCACCCTGGTCAACAGCCTTATCCATGCTCTCAACCAATTGCCAACATCAGTTGTAGCTATGAGGGAGCCAAATTGGCTGTCCTGCCCAAATGAGCCTCAAAGGCCTCCAGCCCAAGCCACCACCTGACTGCAAATGCTTAATTGATTGAATAGGCTGCAGACACTTTATTGATTGACCATAGCTGCAGATGCTTTGACACTCCTCCATGGAGAGTGGGGCCCATTTCCCCTCTTTG